GGGGGTTATCTTCTCGTCATCGTACCTACTTTGACAAGCGCCGACACTTCTCGTGATGTGGATGGCTGAGCTTGGATTTATGAAATATTCATTTGAACACAGAACGAAGGTGGGGGTGGCTTATGTATCATTTATAACATCTGTATTTAAGTTGGATTGTGTGTCTTTTCAGCCATTCTTCCTGTTGAAATGTTCTTTAAGGGGCAATGATTTAGAGAGCTTTAAGAGACTTGAAGGTGGCTATAGCGCATCAGGAATAAACATGAAGAAGTGATTGAAGGAAGGAGAGAATGGCAGGATTAAATGGAGCTGTGAAGGACACTCATCCACTCCATGCCCCCAGCTACTCCACCCCTTCTCAAAGGAGGAGAGGTTATGGTAATATAAACGGGTTGAATAGGACAGTGTTTTATTTTTAGACAAGCACTGGACAGTGGCACTACAAGGGCAACTCCATGTGTCTTTATGGAAGGGAGTGTATTCTCAATCTGGTTTTTTTGTTGTTTGATGGGGCAAACTAAGTGGTATTATTATTAATCCATGAGGCAGACGGAGGGCCAAGAAGTGTGTCTGAGCTTCAGTCACAGGCTGACAGTCCTGGCACTGCAGGTCCCAAACTGGCATAAGGCTGTGTGGTGTGCCAGGTGCTGATAAGGGGATTGCTTGGCGTAGCAGCTCAGACTTGCACTGGGATGTTTGTTCGAATAACAGTTTAATAGATATAGGAGTCAGTGTTACCGTAACACCACTATGTAATGTTGTGGGTCAGGGACCTAAAGGCAGTATTTAGTAAGTAGACAGAGTCACTGACACAGTTTTGAAGCCTCAAATTTGGCGTTTTGGACGTCTTTTTGGAACCAGAAGCGACTATAGCGTGGAGTTAAGTATAACTCAGCCATAAACAAGACATTTTTAGGCAACCACAATTGCCTTTCATGAGGTGTAATGCACTTTGAAAAGGGTAACAGTTGGAAAACAAAAACAAGGCACCCACACTTGACAAAACCATGGAAGCAATGTCAATTGTGTCAATCACAAGATAGCTGGGTCATAATTTACAAACATGGAAGAATACTTGGAACTAGCGATTGAGACCCTAAAATCCTCAGAAGAATGTAAACTGTGGAAACGATTCCACTGAGAAGTAGGGTCAATTGTTGGTAGACTTAATCCTTATGTTGTGTTCGGGTCTCCCGTGACCCGTTTCAAGTTTAAATTATATAATAACACGCTCTAGTCTTTTTTAACGGAACAAGGCTTCATGATATCCTCCACAACAGCTATATAAACACTGAACAACTGATTTTGACAATTTTAGCCAAGTCTGAAGGTTTCTAAAAAAGTGTATAATTTGGTGTTCGGGTCTGGGAAGACCCTGCAGCATTGTTGGGGGTGACTCGGGATCAAATTTGGCCCAATCAAGATTCACCTTTGACTTTAGACAACCCCTCCCCCACCCCCTTCAATCATTTAAAACTTATTTTGGGGAGATTGTATTCTAATATTAATCTATTATAGTCAGATAATGTAATGATCCACTGTCTTCACTATAGGAAATATAATGAGTGAATTTAATCACATGTTTTACTTAAATATGTGGTGTGATGTGTTTTGGGACCATAAAATAAAATTACAACAGGATTGTACGGTTATGAATGCATAATAAGTTAGTTATGATGTAGCTAAAACAATATTGGATGATAGTCATTATTTTTGAGTGTTTTGGACTGAGATAAATCATTGGTCAAAATTGACCTGAGCTGAGAACACATGAACGTTAACAACTTTTGAACACAACACAAGGGTTAAACATTTGAATTTTTACATCAGGGGAGAAGCCCCCTGTTGGACATTTGCAAGAATGCAGGTCAGTGAGTGCATATACAGTATAGCATGTGTGAGAAGCTATACTTTGTGTTTGGCCTTAACATTGACTGAGGAAAAAATAAAACACGCTGCCACCTGAGACCTCTGTTGCTGCTGTGATGTTTGTTTTGGTGGAAAAGCGGCAAATTCCTCTGGGCTTTCCCTTGGTTATTGATGCCTGCTCATTCTGGTAGATGCAAGATAGGATTCTCCTGAGGGAGAGGTGGAGGGAACATGTCCGTGTGAACAGCCCTCAACGGGTCACACAGATCCATACTAAGGTCGAGCAATCAATCTGCTGCAGGAGTTAATTTGGCTGGAAAACCCTTTCATGTCTGAGAGCTTGGAGATACTCCCTGAAAAAGGTAGACTTAGTGTGGAGGAATGTGCAAACATGATTCTAAAATAATGATGGTTTATAAAAGTGTCAATCATATGGGTCCTGGGGGTAGAATATAGTGCTCAGGAGTTGCAGCAGATGATGTATGCAAAAGCGTTGATGTTTTTGAAAAAACTGCATGTCAGTCAGCCATTTTAAAGCTTCCAGGCGTGTTGCATTTCAAATGTGACAGGCAGGCACAGCGTACACTGTGTTTACAAACCACTCTCTCCATCTATTCAAAGTAACACAAGTCTGCTCTGCACGCCAGTACAACACATCTCAGAGCATGCACCATAATCACACCGAGACACTGACATTGTCGCCTGAAGGTGTCGTCGTACCACTGATGCATGATGGGGTTACCAAATACTGTAGACAGAGACACACAAAGAGTGATAGATATTCATAACAGAACAAGCATCCAGCGGGGGACTCGTATGAAAATGCAAAGCATGTGGCCACACCCAAGCCAACACAATATTAGCTCAGAGGAAAAAGTACCATCATCTCAAAAAACATTCTTTGTATGAATCGTCAACATTTCCATATCTTTAAATCATCAAAAGATCATAAAAGAAATCCCACCAAAATCAAGAAAAAACATGATTCCAAATCACAGAAGTTGAGAACCTAAATTGTCCTGGATGCTTATGATGGAACACCTTACTGGGACACTTGATGATTACACTTTTTTAAAAGCTATTTTTGGAGAGCAAAGACAAAAGGGAGGGGGCAGTATGCAAGCAGGCACAAAGGTGACTGTCAACAAATACATTATTATATTTATATAATGTTGAAATATGAAAATGCAGATCATTTAAGATCTTCGTTGTTTTTTCCGTGGCCTAAACACATTATTTCAAATTCTTGCTGTTTTGCTGAACAGGATGTTGGTGCTTCTAAACCAAAAAGCAGTTTACAAATGGCTGGACAAGAAATCTGATTCGATATTCATAAATGCAAGCCTCGTGGAGCATGAGAAGAGAAGATTAAATGGTAAACACTACTTTACACTGTTTTGATAGTTAAGTTCTCCCTAAAAAAGGTTAAATGTGCTTATCTTAAGTCACGTTGGATAGAAGCCAGTAGCCATATTTACTGTAAGTGATGTCATGTAAACAAATATATACATTTCATCAGAATTAGTCAGTTGTTTTAATTAATACAAGAAACACAGTCCTGCTGTACTTTAACAACACTGACAGTTACTAGTTTAAATGAAAATATGCTCAGGTCCATTCATATTTACAATCCTTTCACAACAGGTGAAGTCTGAGTGCTTAACCTAATGGGCGTCAAACCAAGGACATCAACTGATTTGGGATGATGACGTTAGGATTACTCTGGAGCTTTTCAAATCACTTACAAAGAGCATTTTTTTAATTTAAATTCAACTTATCCTACATAACAACTTTACAGGAGCTGCGTGGGAGAAACTCAGAAAGAAGGAGAGGCAGAGACATTCGCCATGAGAGATATAACATTCCACCGATAATAATACAAGATTATATCAGCTCCAAAAATACCTCAGCGCCTGTAAAACTTTTGTAAAGAGTTGAGTAGAGTTGTTCTAGTCTCCAAGGTTATTCATATGCATAGCCAGGGCTGGTGAATTTCAATGAGAGCTATAAAAAAGGATGTTGTTAATTTGGTTCCCTGGTTTAAATTGAAGGGAAAATCAGGGAGAGGATAACCATGCTTTAAAAAAAGGGAGAATTGTAATGAATCAGAAGCTTCTTAATGCTTTTGATATATAAGTAGAAACACATTTCCTAAATTCTGCATTTCCCATGAGCTCAGAGCGATACTGCATCAGTAATTTGCAGTTTCAAGCTGTCATATCAGTATCTGGGTTCATAAGCGAATGTGAGGTGGTCTCACCTTCTGGAGGAAGAGGACGATCCTCTGGACCATTTCCACCCGCTGCTCCTCCAGGCTGAAGAGCGTACGTGGAGTGCGGATGAAGACCTTGGTTTTGCCGTAGGCCGCGTCATGGTCGAATCCACACCCCTGCATGAGCTTCTTCACGGCCTCTTTGTCGGAGGGCAAGTCATGGTTTGGCCACGTAAACTCTGAGATCATCTTGTATCTGGAGGAGGGACACAGAGGTCGTGTCAGAACATGCTGAAGTGTATCGCTCAACAAAAGAAAAAAGAAATGGTTATTTCGATTGCGTAGATCCTTCTACACTCAATTATCTTGTTACCACTCTACAAACAGTACAAATATATAAATGTTCCCCAACCTCCAGACCTTGGGGATCCGGATTTTTCTTGATGTTACCATGAAGTTAACTTTTTATTTTTTAATAAAATATCTGTTTGGGGGCGATTTTGGCGCAGTGGTTAGAGCGTTGATCATCAGATTAAGGGATGTTGGTGAACTCCAGTTCGGAACCCGCCACTGCGTCAGGCCGTTGTGTCCTTGGGCAAGACACTTTACCCGAATTCGCTCCTGTGGGTAATGTCCACTGTAATGACTCTTACATGTCTAATATGTAATTGTAAAGCACTTTGAGCACCTGTAAAAGCGCTCTAATAAAAAATGTGATGCATTATTATTATCTCAACAAATATTAGTTAGATGACAATAACATTTGGTAATCACATTCATGTTCCCCTTATGATAAATTGTCAGAAAAGTGTTCATCCCTTCAATTATCATCCAGCACCATCCACAGATCAAATGTGGCCAACACTTTGGTATATGACCTGCAAAACTGATGATATTAACATCAGCATTAGCATTTAGCTACTTTGTGCCTAGTGCTAATTAGAAGATGTTAGCATTCTAACATTCAACCTGCTAAACATCAGCATGTCAACATTGTATTTGTGCTAATGTTATCATTTACCTAACAGAGCAATCGTTGCACTAATAGACTTGTATTGCTTTTTACTCTGTTAATACATAATTAAAACATACAAACACTTTCAGCGAAGGAAGAAATGATACTGATACTGTACAGTACCATTTAAAATCTAGACACTGCGCAGATTCTTTGCAATTGAATATTTTTAGTTTGTTCTCTTTGTTTTATTTCCCCTCACATCATATCTCAAGAAAGCTGAAGCTGTACAGATCTTCTTAATTGCTATGTGAGCAGGCTTGGATTTTCATCATTTTAGGGGCAAAGCCATTTGGCCTTTGGTGTCACACATTTTTTCAGGGCGGAAAGGCCACATGCCAGGGCACAAAGGCCATTGAGGAAAAAATTGGATTTGGAGTTTACAAATAAATAACTTCACTTTCTAATGACAAAAAACAAATCACTTTTTTAATATCAATAATCGTATCATCATATAGGCCTATGCCTCCTTAGTATTACCGTATATAAAAGGAAATACTCTACTTTGAATAATTAGTGTTTGGTATGTTTTCCATCTACTAATTCTCCCATTCACAAATCCGAAATGAAATCTAAAAATCAAAAATTCTATTAATATGTAACAAATATATTCAATTTCAGAGCAGAAGAAAC